CCCCCTGGCCCCTCCCTCCTAGCACCTCCACACTGGACACCTCCACCCCGGGCACCTCCACCCCGGGCACCTCCACCCCGGGCACCTCCAACCCGGGCACCTCCACCCCGGGCACCTCCACCCCGGGCACCTCCACCCCGGGCACCTCCACCGGGCACCTCCCGCTGCTCTGTGTCGCAGTCTTTAGCTGACAGGGTCTCGCTCTCCTACTTGGTGCCTCCTCTAATAGGAAGCAAAGCCCCTACCAGGGCCGGAGTGCAGCTGGGTGACTAACGCCTCCAGAGGAAGAACTGGCTCTTCCCGAGGCCCAGCACGTGGGGCCTGCTGATGCAGAAAGGCAGAGCTGGTGCACGTGGCCTGTAGCCCCTGAGTCTGGGAGGGACCCAAGGCCTGGGATCAAGACCAGGATCATTCAGACTGAGGAGCTCGTGCTGTTAGAGGGCCCCGGCCACCCCGCGGTGCAGGGAGCTAGATCCCACTTGGCCGGACGCAGTGCCTTGGGAACCACACCGGGTGCCTGTGTGTGACTCGACTCCAAACAGGGTGGAGGATGGAGGGGAGGATGTGCTGTGAACATGTCCCCGGGAGCTCCCCACCTCACTCTCTGAGCACACGTGTCCCCAGGAGCTCCCCACCTCTGTCTCTTACGGTGACCACACGTGTCCCCGGGAGCTCCCCACCTCTCTCTCTGAGCACACGTGTCCCCGGGAGCTCCCCACCTCACTCTCTCTCTCTGTGAGCACACGTGTCCCCGGGAGCTCCCCATCTCTCTCTCTCTGTGAGCACACGTGTCCCAGGGAGCTCCCCATCTCACTCTCTCTCTGTGTGAGCACACGTGTCCCCGGGAGCTCCCCACCTCTCTCTCTCTCTCTCTCTCTGTGAGCACACGTGTCCCTGGGAGCTCCCCATCTCTCTCTCTCCCTCTTTGTGAGCACACGTGTCCCTGGGAGCTCCCCACCTGTCTCCCTCTCTGTGTGAGCACACGTGTCCCCAGGAGCTCCCCACCTCTCTCTCTCTCTCTGTGTGAGCACACGTGTCCCCGGGAGCTCCACACCTCTCTCTCTCTGTGAGCACACATGTCCCCGGGAGCTCCCCACCTCTCTCTCTCTCTGGAGAGCACCCTGTCCCCTGGTTGGTCACGCAGCCTGCTGGCCCATCTCTGTGCTCTGCAGGGCTGTGAGCAGCGTCCCGTCACCTCTGGTACTTCACCCCGATGGCTCCCTTACCATTGAGCTGGAGCCCACGTCACGTCCCCTTTAGGACCTGAATCTCAGCTGTGTCTGCAGTTGCCAAGCCAGTGTGGGCGTCTCGCTGTCTGTGGTGCCCAAAGCCCATGGTTCCTCTGACCGGCCTGAGGCCACTTCCTTTCCTGGTTGTGGACAGGCCTGAGCTAAGGCTCACTGTGTGGAGACCACCCTCTGCACAGTGCGTCCCCGCCAACCTCAGGGTCAGCTCTGCTTGGTCACTTAGACTTCTTCTTTAATAGTTTCTGTGTTTGGGGAATGCACTTGCTGGAGAGAGGCAGAGAGAGGGGACGTGAGAAATAACCCTGCAATCCCTTCTCCTCCATTCTCCTGGGATTTGGGGCACACACGCACACTCACCAGCGTGATTTTCTCCTTTGTTTTCAGAGGCTTTTGCCGTTGGGCGCATGTGCTCGCCAGAGATGGAGAGGGAAAGTGAGAAATCACCGTCCAGCTGGGATGGCCACACTGCAATTCCTTCTTCTCCATTCTCCCCTCAGGCTTTTGGGCATGCACGCACACATGCTTGATGTGTTTTGGATGCCTTAGGGTCCAGGACTCAAGCCGGTGTTGGCTATGTGGGATCCAGCACCTTATTAACTGTGCCACCTACTGGCCCTGGAAATCATTTTTTTTGGAGAGGTATTTTTTTTGGTATAGGGCATGTGCGCTTGCCAGAGAGACAGAAAGTGAGAAATCCCCCCCCACACCACTCCCGGAGGGATGGCCACACAGCAATCCCTTCTCCTCCATTCTTCTCTCGGGATCTTGGGCACGCGTGCACATGCACCCGGCATGAGTTTAAGCCACCAAGTCCGGGACTTGAACCGCAGTCGACTACGTTAGAGTCCAGCGATGGAGCCATTATGCTATCTGCTTGTCCCCTAGAAATACTTTTTACTACTGGGCAGTTTAATAGCCGTGTGCTGTTTTACCATGTGGTTGTAATACCATTTATTTCACATGTAACCTGTATGAACATGCTCAGGTTGCTGATGTTCTCAGTATTATAAGTTGTTCTGTGGGAACAGGCTCTAAGTGTAATACACATCCCCAACTACTGTCTAAGAACACCTGAGTGGAGCTTACAAGGCAAAGGAGTTTCTCATACCCACGCCACTTCTCAGCCTCTAGGCGGGCCTCTCCTGTGGGTGGCCCTGCCGTGTCCTGCTGTGTGGTCCCCACACTGCTGTTCAGCCTCACGGCCTCCTCGTGGTCCCCCGCGTACTGCACTTCTCACCGGCCCTCACCCAACTCAGTCCTCTTCAAACATTCTGCCTGGCCTGCCTGTGGGTACTGACTACGATCTGCTTGTTCTAGCTCATTTAAAACTCACTCAGCTCAGGAGAAGGTCATCTAAACCCTTGTCCTGTGGGTGCCTGGAGCCGGGGCTGGCTCCACCCTGTGTGTGTGAAAGTGCGACTTGGGGCAGCCTAAGGACCGGCTAGCTCTGTGGTGAACCGCGCTATTCTGAAATGGACAGCTATGGTTACTCACTGAGGCAACACGTGACCCGTGGTGGGTACTTCGTTCATCTCCTCACCTTAACTATACAGCTCTCCCACAGAAGCTGTTGGTAATCACACTCCAAGAGCCCTCGGCCGTGTACACTGCCGCTAAGCCGGACCTGTGCTTGTCCCGCAGTCCACGGCTGTGCGGAATTCACCCTGTACAGGTTAATGGCTGTGGGCTATGTTCTTGTTTGACAGAATGACGAGCCCAGGAATCCAAGTTCAAGAAGAGACGGGACTAGCAGCCGGTAAGAAATGAACTCCTTTCGTGTGGCTGTCACCTACGGGGGGTTTCAGCAAGTGCGTGGAAAATGTGTCTGATGAATATGCCGCCTGGAGTTCAGACCGGCTTGGGACCGGAGCAGACTCGTCCCTTACCTGCGTGTGCCTGCTGGTGCCCTCGGGCCCTCATTGGTGGCTGTCCCCGGTGGGCCTCGCGGCCAGTGGTCTGTGCTAGTCTCTGCGGCACTGCACGCTCTTGGGGTCCCGGTCCTCCAGTGTGCCACGGAGCGTGGCAGTGTGCGATACGTCACTAGTCCTGTTTCTTTTTCTTTACTTTTATAAAAATTTTTTAAAAATTTTTTTTCGTGTGTGCTACAGAAGCTGTCAATCCAGTACACCAGACAGAATCTACATCAACACAATAAAAGTACACAGCATTAGTAAAAATCTCTTGTTTCTTTTTAAGGTTTATGTCATAGGGTGCGCTTCCCAGAGAGAGACAAAGAGACACAGTGAGAGGGAAAGTGAGAAATCAGCCCCTGCGGGGACGGCCCCCCACAGTCCCTTCTCCATTTTTCTCCTGGGACTTTGGGCATACACGCTGAGTCCAGGACTCAGACTGTGGCCAGCTACGTGGCGTCCAGCACCATGACCACCACGCCGCCTGCTGGCCCCGCTCATCCTGTCTCACCTTTCTCACACCTGCTCGTGCAGAATTAGAGAATCGGCCCTCACTTTGGGGAGAGCACTTCAGTTGGTGTCTGAGCGTGCAAGAGGCAGCCTCTCTGCCCACAGTGAAGTGTCGAGGGCGGGTGGGCGGCCCCTTTCTAGCATGAGCGAGCTCACCTGGGCCACACCCGCCACGACCCCACAGGCCGCAGTCCTCCCACCCAGCGCTCATGAACTCAGGCTCGGGCGCTGCTAGCGGCCCGGCTAGGGCTGCGTCTGCCTCTCGCCGTGCTGCCAGACGCCGCAGAGCAGAATGCGGTGAGGCCTGGAGCGTGCGCCCTCGTCTGCACACGTGTGCCCTAGATTTTAATCGTTCTTTATGACAACCATGTTCTACCATTTTTTCCACAGATTATGAAGACTTAGGCTCTTTTTTTTTTTTTTTGGAGAGATTTTCACTGTAGGGCGCGTGCACTCGCCAGACAGAGAGAGACATAGAGACAGAAAGCGAGAAATCACCTCCCAGGGGGGATGGTCACGCCGCAATCCCTTCTCCTCCATTCTCCTCTCGGGATCTTGGGCACGCATGCACACGCGCCTGACATGAGTTTTAAGCCACCGGGTCCGGGACATGAACCGCGGTCGACTACGTGGGAGTCCAGCGACATAGCCATTACGCTAACTGCTGGTTCCCAAGACTTAGGCTCTTGTTTTGCCTAAATTTTTACAAATTTGAACAAAGCTAGCCCTTAAACCTTGGGGAGGGGCCAATTTCTAGATTCTCCCACTAAAGTTTGTTTGTTTCTTCTGAGAGAAAAGGACACCCGTGGCCGGGTCTTTATGCCACAGTGTTGCGTCCAGCCGTGTGGCGGCACCGGACCCCAGGCTGTGCTGGAACGCATAGGCTCTGGCTTTGTTCCCTGTAAACCGCTGCGTGACCTCGTTACCCGCAGGCCGCGGGGCATTGCTGTGAATGTGAGTTCGTGTGTGTGTGTGTGTGGTTTTAAGTTATTTACTTAATCTTATTTATTATTATATTTTAATTTGACCAGAGAGAGAGAGGGAGAGGGAGAAAGCAAGTCACCAGGTCCGGGACTTGAACCGTGGTCAGCCATGTGGGAGCCAGGACCTTTACCACCACGCCATCTATTGGCCCCTGAGTGTGTATTCTAAAAATTGAGACTCAGTTTGAAACTTTGAAGACTTATTTTCATAACCTAAAATGTAAAGTGTAATTTCAAAAGAACATATTTTAAATACATTTTTGTTTGGCAGTAGAAATACAATTTTGAACATGAAGTGACAGTGTTAGAGATGACTAATAAAGTGGCAGCCATTTCTGGAACTCCGAAGTTCCAGACCTGCATGGCACGAAAGCTGGCTGTGGCGTGTGGCTCTGTGCTCTCGAGAGGTGGGGCTGCTGAGTGGCAGGCCTGTCGGATGCGGCAGGCTAGCGCTCCGAGCCCCCCATGGCCACCGGTGCCTCTCAGACCCGCCGAGGTACGGCAGTTTTCTTCTTTGCAAGTCCTGGTTTAAGAACAACTTTTGGGGACCAGCAGTTAGTATAATGGTTATGTCGCTGGACTCCCACATACTCGACCGTGGTTCAAGTCCCGGACCCGGTGGCTTAAACTCACGCTGGGTGCATGTGCGTGTGTGCCCAAGATCCCGAGAAGAGAAGGAAGGAGAAGGGATTGCGGCGTGGCCATCCCCCCTAGGGGGTGATTTCTCGCTTTCTGTCTCTATGTCTCTCTCTGTCTGGCGAGTGCACGCGCCCTATAGCAAAAACCTCTCCAAAAAAAAAAGAACTTTTGGTTTTGCTCATGTTTCTTTCTAGGCATGCGGAGGCTGTGACCAGGAACAATGGGAAAGACAAAGACTCACGGCAGAAGGTGAGAGGGCCGGGACCACGGCTCCCCACTGCCCTGCAGAGGGCGCGTCTTCCCCCGGCCCCCCCCCCCCCCCCGAGGGGGGGCTCTGGGCTCCCCGGGAGCAGGCCAGGGCCACTGGCAGGGGCTGCTTGGAGCCGCCCGGAGGCACCTGGGGTCAGGGAGATCAGAAGGGCCAAGTGGGCCTGCAGTAAAAGACAGAGCTGGCGCGGTCGTGCCGACAGGCCTGGGTGACATCCTCGAGCAGACGCTTCCTGAGTCTAGCCCGAGGAGCGATGGTCGTCATGGACGTGTGCTAACGCAGGCTCAGGGTGAAACGCTGAAGACTTATTTTCATAACGTAAAATATGAAGGAAGCCTGGGGGAGGGGAAGGGGCATTCGACAGCTCACGGGACTCCCGCTTCAGGGACGAGAGGGAGTCCCTATAGGCACGGGTTCCTGGTGCCTCTGAGCGAGCTGGTGGCCGCACTGGTGGGGAGCCTCACCCTGGCAGACGCGTGCTCGCCTGGCACACCCCTCTGAGCCGTGTCACCTGCGTGACGCACCCAGCCCTCCCATCCCCCATGTTCTGCGTGGCCTCGTGCTCCGGCGTGTGCAGGAAGAGCTGTGTGCCCTGCCCTGCCCCCGTGTAACTGGTTGTCTTTTTAGAGCTCTTTGACTATAGGGTGCCGGGGACCAGCCTCGGCGTGGGTGGGTTATCTTGACTAAGGCGGTGAAGGTGAACAGAAGACAGAGGCTTCGATGCCTTTTCATGCACGTCTGATGCCGGACACCCCTCAGAGGTCGCCCTCTGAAGAATGACAACTGCTAGGAATAATCGTGCCTTTTTATTGAAAATGTGTTACATACAAGTAAATGGGAGAGGGGCTAGTGTTTCAATTAACAGCTCATAAAGTTTTTAACAACAAAGAACATAGATTCTATTTAGGGTTGGATTAAGGGTGGGTCTAGTGCAATTCAGGGTTTGATTAAGGGTGGGTCTAGTGCAGTTCTTATTCAGGGGTGGATTAAGGGTGGGTCTAGTGCA